CCTTTTATTATAAATAGATAACAAAAAAGAAAATCAACAGAACTAAACAGTTTTAATTAACGAATGTTTGGCCTCGTTTCTGGCCGTTCCGCGAGGCTAAGTCTGGTCTCGCCGGCTTGAGGTAGGCCAAGATTCCTGTAATCAGAAAAACACGACTATGTGTTAGACACACGTACACGTTATACGTATCTTCGTCGCGCTCGTTTGCTCGCGCTCCTTGGTTCGTAATTCGAACGTATCGGAGCGGAGAAATGTAAACTTTCGTAAATTACGAAATATAAGTGGACTGTATTTTGGCTAGGAAAAGAATTAAACTTCTTTTCCTCGCCGATTCAGTGGTCGATTGCCCAGTGGACGGGGATGCAAGAGGAGGTTGTAAGGCTCCTAATGCACTGTTCCCGTGAATATGCACACTGAGTCTGTGCGTCGAGTCGCACTGCAGTGCACTGCACGACCGTCAATCTGCGGCTTCTCTTAACACGTTCCAACAGATGACTTATTTGGCCGAGAGTTACACTGCGAAGCCCGACAACACGTTGTTCACTGCACGAATACACTACTCGACGTGATACGTTGCAGTATTTTGAACTACGCGGGGGCCTGACCCACGACTCCGTTACTTCTCCGCACTGGTGCTCCTCTAAACGTTACACCGGCGGGATCTGTAGAAGTAAGGAGGCGAAGACCGAAAATCACACGTCCAAAATGGACGTGGACTTGACTACAGTGAGCCCACCAGGAGGTACACCACGTAGGTGCCTCCCTTTTGGTGTCTCCTAAGCCGAAGGGCAATCGCACAGAAGTATGGGCGGTATCGCCGACTTCTGTATGATTCAACGTGTATACGTTGGAATCGACCCTTAAATTCCGCACAGGAGGGGTCGAACACCCTATTGGTGTATTCTCGAGCCCTCCAAAATGTGCAGTAATTTAAATTAATTAGACTCGATCGAGATTTGCTCGAACGAGAAGCAGGTGAACTTGCACGAATCGAGATGCGAATCGTGTTTTCCAAGCAAGGTGGGAATGAATTTCCGACCTTTTCGAGCAAGGCTCGCTACACCCTTTTATACAGCAGTCTTTATGGCTTTCTCGCAAGAGGATTTTCCCTCTTCAATCGCGATTAACTTCTGATCGAAATATGATCGGGAGCCGATGCGTCTCGGTCAGAAGTCGCCGTAAGAATGATACGGATTGACAGCCGAAGACGTCGCCGCGGTACTCTTACTGGTTGTTCCGTGGCGCTGTCTGAATTTCGGCCGTCTCTCCTTGTCACATTATTGGCGCACTACTCTCTCACGGTACTGACGTCACTAACACCGTTAGCACACTCGAATCGAAAGGTAATGAGCCGTTACCGATGCCAGAAAAACTAATAATACACACGTTTTTCAATCACCGTTCGCTATACAAATCCAATTAGAGATAATCTCTTGGTTATTGTACGTTAACAGGATTAACGGTAATTGCGGCCGAGGCTAATCGCTCGGCATTATGCAATCTTTAAACAGATTCAATTATAAAAACGGGGATGGGACGGGTTGTCGCGGATGGGGAGGACGAAGACGGCGTTGGGGCTGGAGTGACGGCGCTCGCGCCTCACTCAGCGCCTGGCCCGGCTTCGTGGAAGGTGGAGGAGAACGACGAGACTGCGTCAGTCTCGTCCTTCTCCTCCAAGAGGAGCCACATAGGCTCCAAAAGGAAGCGGACGGGGCAGGCCGTCGACGGAATGGACCGGGCTATGAACCCAGTCGTAATGGTGAGTTGCCTCAGGGACGAGGTGACCGAGGAGATATCCGAGAGGATCTCCTCGTCCCTGAGGCGGGTGGAGAAGGTGGCCGCTGCCTGCTCCTTGAAGGGGCAGAAGACCAGCGTGGCAGGGGCCCCTGAGGGAAGCGGCCCAGACGATGAGGGAGGCGGCGCTGAAGTTGTATGGGCGAAATGCCCGGCTGCAGCTCCAGATGGAGGAGGAGCGACGGGGGAGGATGAGGGCAGAGGCGCGCTGGAACAGCGCAGCCCACCCTCCTATCCTCCCTCCTCCTCCACCGCCACCACCACGATCCCACGGTCGTGGAAAAAAAGCGGAGTGCGGCGGCGGTGTTGCGGGGACCTTCCACCCGCACTCCGCCCGCGCAGAGTTCCCCATTCTCCTCAGAGGACGAACTTCTGAGGAGGATCGGGAACATGATCGAAGGCAGTAGTATAGCTATGGGGATTCTAACCCATGGGGCAATGAGGGGAGCGTGCGGCGAGGGGAAGGTAGGGCGCGCGGGGGAGTGCGGCGCGGAGAACTTTAGGCGCGGGGCCTGTGGGGAGTGGAAGAGTGGTTGCGCGCACACGAGCCGCGGAGTGGGGGATGTCAGGGGATTAGTCCAGGCCGAGCCGCCGCGGAGACCTCTCCAGACCTGGCCCGCCGTCGGAAATTTTTTAAGAGGGGGGGGAATGATCCCCGAAAACTTTTCATACCGAACCGAGGGAGGGGATGACCCCCGAAAATTTTTTTCTACACCCACAGGCATTTTTTTATTGTCTTTTCGGCGTTCTCGGTACGTTTGATGAGATCTAAAAAAAAAAGAATTACATAATGTTCTCCTAAGAAAATATTTACAGCTAGCGAAAAAAAAACAACACATCATTCGGCTCGTAAATCTATTCTTTCTATTTATTATTCTAGTACTCGTATAAATTCAGATTTTTATAGTTCACTGTGGTTAGGTTTGGTCAAACTCTTGCAAAACGCGTTATAGAAAATGGTTAATATCATTACGAAACACAAGAAATAAAAAGTTTCATACTGTATACTAAATGCGAAAATTTACTCGAAAAAATGCAGTTCCTCTTTCATCCAGAGTCGAGTCGAGTCTCGCGCAACGATGCGTTTTCGCGCTTTGTCAGCGAGTACGTTATCTGCTACGTGCCTTTCGACGAAGTCGTTGCTAAGCGAATATGCAATATCGTGTTCGCGACACGCTGCGTCCAACGGATTAAAATATAAATTAAATCGACGGTCCAGCCTTAGATTTATGCGAGGAGAGAATGTGGAAGACGGGTAAATAAAATTCGAGAAATAATATATGTTTTAAATGACACTATATTGTTACAATAGAAGAATATATTGTTTTTTTGAAACGTCGAATCTTAGAATTATGCGAGGAGATAAGGTGGAAGACGGGTGAAATAAAATTGGAGAAATAATATATGTTTTAAATGATACTATATATTTTTTGTTATGTTTAAAGGTGTTTAAAGATTGCATAATGCCGAGCGATTAGCCTCGGCCGCAATTACCGTTAATCCTGTTAACGTACAATAACCAAGAGATTATCTCTAATTGGATTTGTATAGCGAACGGTGATTGAAAAACGTGTGTATTATTAGTTTTTCTGGCATCGGTAACGGCTCATTACCTTTCGATTCGAGTGTGCTAACGGTGTTAGTGACGTCAGTACCGTGAGAGAGTAGTGCGCCAATAATGTGACAAGGAGAGACGGCCGAAATTCAGACAGCGCCACGGAACGACCAGTAAGAGTACCGCGGCGACGTCTTCGGCTGTCAATCCGTATCATTCTTACGGCGACTTCTGACCGAGACGCATCGGCTCCCGATCATATTTCGATCAGAAGTTAATCGCGATTGAAGAGGGAAAATCCTCTTGCGAGAAAGCCATAAAGACTGCTGTTTAAAAGGGTGTAGCGAGCCTTGCTCGAAAAGGTCGGAAATTCATTCCCACCTTGCTTGGAAAACACGATTCGCATCTCGATTCGTGCAAGTTCACCTGCTTCTCGTTCGAGCAAATCTCGATCGAGTCTAATTAATTTAAATTTACTGCATATTTTGGAGGGCTCGAGAATACACCAATAGGGTGTTCGACCCCTCCTGTGCGGAATTTAAAGGTCGATTCCAACGTATACACGTTGAATCATACAGAAGTCGGCGATACCGCCCATACTTCTGTGTGATTGCCCTTCGGCTTAGGAGACACCAAAAGGGAGGCACCTACGTGGTGTACCTCCTGGTGGGCTCACTGTAGTCAGGTCCACGTCCATTTTGGACGTGTGATTTTCGGTCTTCGCCTCCTTATTTCTACAGATCCCGCCGGTGTAACGTTTAGAGGAGCACCAGTGCGGAGAAGTAACGGAGTCGTGGGTCAGGCCCCCGCGTAGTTCAAAATACTGCAACGTATCACGTCGAGTAGTGTATTCGTGCAGTGAACAACGTGTTGTCGGGCTTCGCAGTGTAACTCTCGGCCAAATAAGTCATCTGTTGGAACGTGTTAAGAGAAGCCGCAGATTGACGGTCGTGCAGTGCACTGCAGTGCGACTCGACGCACAGACTCAGTGTGCATATTCACGGGAACAGTGCATTAGGAGCCTTACAACCTCCTCTTGCATCCCCGTCCACTGGGCAATCGACCACTGAATCGGCGAAGAAAAGAAGTTTAATTCTTTTCCTAGCCAAAATACAGTCCACTTATATTTCGTAATTTACGAAAGTTTACATTTCTCCGCTCCGATACGTTCGAATTACGAACCAAGGAGCGCGAGCAAACGAGCGCGACGAAGATACGTATAACGTGTACGTGTGTCTAACACATAGTCGTGTTTTTCTGATTACAGGAATCTTGGCCTACCTCAAGCTAGCGAGTTCGGCGACCCAGCCTCGCGAAGGCCAGAAACGAGGCCAATTAATATTCATTGTTCAGTCTCGTTAATTTTGTTATTATAATTGTTCTTTGGTTTTTCTTTTGTTTCTTATTTTTGAATAAAAGGTCGGTCTTAAAGGCCGACGAAAAGAAAACCATTTTTGTCCGATTCACTTCCCCTATAATACTCCCACACCTCTATCCGGACTCACACGTTAAAAGTATATATTCATTACTTTTTAACATAAGGTCCTTCGAGCCGGATATTGAGGTAATCGGAGAAAGGGAAGTGTTGGACGTATAACACGTGAGTTTCTTCCGTGTACGGTTGTTTAGAAGCGTTTAACCTTCAACAACTATGTCCGTTACGAACGATCCCGACTGGTCTGACCTTGGGGCATACCTCGAGAACCTGACCAGAGGGATGGAACGGATAAATAGGGCATCCATCAACCTCAAAAAGATGGGTCGAGCCAAATATACCCAGAAAATTCTGGAAGAAAGGCTCGATTACGTTAAAACTCTGTGGCAACAGATGAACGATCAGTATATGGTCGTGTGTAGGCTTCTCCCTCCTGGGAAACGACACGATTACGAGTTGTTCCAACGGGATTTCATGGGGGAAACCGAAAACGAGTTTCTGGAGTTCCAGGCCTATGTGGCCGCGGAAATAACCCGACTCACCACAGGTCCAAGGACGGTGATGTCGGAAATCCAGCAAACAATACCGATCGAACTCCCGAAGATGAGGTTGGAGAAATTCGACGGGGATCCTTCGAAATGGGAACATTTCGAGGACCTATTTACCGCCGGAGTAATAAACAACCCCACGTTAACGGATGTGCAAAGGTTACAATACCTAAACACCTGTATAACCGGGAGAGCCGCAGCCGCTATCGCATCTCTTGCGATAACGGATTCAAATTTCTCAGTAGCGTGGTCGACCCTGAAAGCAGAATTCGGGCTCCCACGCTTGGTACTGATCAAGCTACTTGATCGGATTCTGAGATTGACAAAGATCCGAAAGGGCGACCTGTCGAGTGTTCAGCAGGTTACCATAGGCTTTCGGCAAGCACTCGCTATCCTTGCTAAAAAAGGAAAAGCGGAAGAGCAGCTTAGTTGGCTGCTCACGCATATTGTAGCGAGCCAATTTGATGCCGCGTTGCAAGGGGAATGGGAACGATCCCTCAAAATGTCAACGGAATATCCGATGATAGAGGAGATATTCAGATTCCTCGATCAGGAGGCGCGGGCTATGTCCGTAATTGACGAACATAACCGCAAAATTGCCTCAAAACAGGAACAGAAGCCACGAGTACGGAGTCATAACACCGTCGTGGATTCCCCCCCTGCGCAGCGAAAGTGCACGATTTGCGGACAAACGCATGCACTCTCGGAATGCGGCACATTTAAGCGTTTCTCCGCACTGGTACGTTACCAGATCATAAAGGACAGTCAGGGATGTATAGCCTGTCTGGCCCTGGATCACGACGTAAGAGGCTGCCGGAGCCAACAAGGTTGTTCGAGATGCAGTGGCAGGCATCACATCCTGTTGCATTTCGAACAACGCGAAAAAGAGGCGGAAAGCCAAAAGCCGAAATCGAAATATTCGAACGGCAAGCGCGAGGAACGGCGAGATAACGCCCCTCCACAGCGCCGTACGGCTAAGGCGAAAGCCGGCACCGATACCTCGAACGCGCAAGCAGCTACGTCACGGGCCACTACGTCACACTGTACGGCAAGTACAGACGTACCGAGGCCGGTGCTATTAGC